TCAAAATCCAAGATGGCCACCCTGGCCTCTGTTTGGCTAAGACATTATGGACCTCCTCTCAAGAACCATTGGGTGGGTCATGATCAAACTTGGTACAGATGTTTAACACATGGTCCTGCACAAGTGTTGTTACATTTTTGCAACATTTTAAAATCCCCAGATTATTGACATATATACCTCGGGTGACCGTTAAGGCCCCTTGGGCCTCTTGTTTTTACCTCACCCTAGGGTTGAGACAAGCTACAAGCGCTCCTTGCGCGTTCTCAACAATAATGTGACGTCACTATCTTGACCCGGAAGTGGAACTTGGCATGTAAATGACGTCATCGTAAAATAACGATTTAATCAGATGTGTTGATTTTGTGTGTATATTGAAGTCATCGCATCTATACTTTCACATTAAAAATGTTTTTTTAATATCAATATCATTTATCTTTATCCTTTACTGTACTGTTAATGGGAATTATATTTTGTGCGGGATGTCGCAATTAAGCGTGACGCGGTTGAGACGGCCTCGTCACTATAATCATGCCTTGTCTACGAGTTTTTGTTTACAAACATTCTATTTCGTATTTTACGCTCAGCGGGTGACCAGAGTAAAAGAAAAATAACCATTCATCCCCTTTGGGATGAGACAGAGGAATCTCAACCCTCGGGGGATTATTAAGCTGTCAAACACTCGGCAAGCATCGTGTTTTACAACTTAATAACCCCTCCAATCCTCGTAATCCATTTTTTCTTTGAGGCGGAAATAAAATGACTTAGTCACGTGACAAGCCATGTGACTCACTCGGCTTTCTTCGTAATCAACCGAGCGTGGGCATGTTGATAAACAATAGTCAAGATAAACAATGTTCCGACGCCGAAAATATGTACAAAAACAACGTTATAGGCGCGTGTATCGCTTTAATATGTATATATTTTATTATTCATAAACCGAATTCTCCATTTCCCGATGTTGAAATCTAAGGTAATAGCCGCTTTAAGAATTTTTTATCGGGAACGTGTCAGGAAGATAAGACACAAAATGCTGTCGGTGCATTAAAAATTATGTTTGTCATTTTAATTTTTTGCTTAACGGAATTGACCGATCATGGATATGTATTTTTATTGATCACCAAAATAGTCCGATTAACATTTGCAATGGGTTCTCCGGAAAAAAACCGAACGGATATTACTTGCGTAGAGAATACCGGAAACACCCGAATTGTTTCCGACCGACATTATTGCCGCCGATTCGCACCCACAGATTCTCACCATCTGTTATACAGTTTAAGGGATCCACCGACTTACGAATTAGTATGAGAATGAGTCATCTGATGGTATTTTTGATACTGGCCGCCATTCAGGTATTGTCTAAATTACTTTTGCCTCATCAAAATTAGTAGTATTAATGTACACTTGATGGAATGAAATTGTTCGGTACTGGTGGAGAAGAAAGTGTGTGGAAATTAAGAAAAAGATAGGTATGACAAGATTTGTTTATGAAGAATGTTAAAAATTAAAAAAAAAACAACACATCAGTGTATTCGTATCAATGTACTGAAGAGAGCGTAGATAAAAAAAAACACGTATAATTGGAATTCTCATACCATTGAAATTTGCTTATTATATTTGCACAGCTGTGTTTGTCATGTTATTTACCATTAATAAAATATATATCAAATACATGGCAACAAACATGCGTTTATGTCACCGACTGATGGATCCACTTACAAAAATCCTACAAAATATGACGTCATTCAACAGTAATGGGAGACTCAATGAAATCCATGACCTTTCTCATCTCGATTAACAAACTCCAGAGGTTTTTACCTCTATAGAAAACGGTGTCAAAAATATACCTATAAGCAAGATATGGCACGATCTTATCAAGCTCGAAGGAACGCATAAGGCAGTTTTAAACGCTTGAAGAGGACTTTATTCTTTGGACGTGACTGTCCTCTTGTCGAAACGAAAATGGTAGAAGGACCGAGATGTAAGCCTCCGACACGTGGTATGAAATGTTTTATCTTGTACACTACGCACCTATACAACAATATCAAGTAGAGACGGAGGTACCCATACCGTTTGATACCAAAAACATGTGATGATGACATTACATTTCAGGCGAAAACACTCAAAATCTTACATGTACGACAGGAAGATGAAGCATCCCCCACAGAAGCCATCCTTTCGTATTCGAACAAGCCGGAAATGAAAACAATGTTTTCGCCAGAAATCGCTGAAAGCAGATAGGCCGCGGTTTGGGTTTGATTCAGCCGTTTATTCAGGGCGACAATCTATTGTTAATCAAGGCGATGTAATAAGAATACGAGCTGTGAAAATGATAACTGACGTCAAACACAGCAGAATATCAAATCTACAATGATGTCTAGAACTCTCAAATCCGGAACTGCGTTAACGAAAACAAGCCTTCACTACGTTAAAGAAGGACCAGTCTGACCACATCAAAGATCCAAATGCAGCTAAAAGGAAAAGAAGCAATTATTTGGTTCAAACTGAAAACTTACTAGGCCCTCTCCTGGCAAACACAAGACATAACTAAAGATACGTGATGACAAAAAGGTTCAACATATATACAAACTAGAAAGAAAGAGTGGGATGGAAGAAGGGGACAGGAGGATGTGGGAAAGTGGGGCTCTGGTTGCAGTAGTTTTCTTCTAGTATCAACCATCTTACTTGATTTGATAAATGACAGCAAGTGTTATTTTACTATTCGTTTCAATGGAATATCAGCATGTCCCCATAAGGGGGGCTGGATAGACACCAATGTTTGACAGAACATCAAACAATCTAATTCAAGGATTAGAAAATATCGATTATTTCGACGATGAGGACAGAACCAAGTATAAATAGAATTGAAATACAGCAAATTCTTATCATTAAACTTCATGGGTCATATATACATGCTGTTGGTTATTCCGAATTCCTGTCTGTGACAAATCATATTTGGACCTGTGTGACGTGCCTCCCGCGCGAGTGTCCAAGAAGGCTATTGGCAACAAATTGGCATGATATCAGTCAACGACGGGGATTCGTACACATTTCAGATATTGGGATCTGGAGAAGATGACTTGGCGAAATTGTTTGTTATATATCGACGGTGCAAATTCAGTGGACGATTCCAAGGCAGATCCCATCAATCCATTCTTACACTTAATGTTCGTAACATGAGCGTCAGTCTAAACGAAAGGTTGGTATCTTCAGCTGACAATGCGTTCCCGTACAGCCCGGACACACAGAGACCTTGTTGATTTAGCGAGAGCAGCTAATGAATCTCAACTGATAGGCGCCATGACATCACGACTTCGATGCAACTCTAACTTAGGATACGTCACGAAAAAGGCTAAGGTTTCGTTCCGTCGATTTGATAGGGAAAATCATTCGGATTTTTTCGCTCAGGAACGATATCTAGTCAACAACCAATCGGTCACGCGGCAAAGACACGTTATGTCTCAACGCTTCAGAAAGCTCATGTAAAGCAGTCATTCAAGAAATAAAGCCTTTATGCAGGAGAAACCCTCCCACCAAGTATCATACGTATAGTCCGTGGAAGGCACGTCACACAGGTCCGTACCTCGAGGCAACATAGATTTCACCAAGGACAACTTGTTCATTGGACACATACCCGAGAGGATCGTCCTGGTCGATTCCGATACACCATAAAATTGATTATGAAGGTCTGAATATGGACGGAAAATGCATTTGGAGATTCGAATATGAAAATCATTTCGGTTTATTTCAGAAGAGTGCACACCTAGAGAGATTACGAAGACGTACCGTGTGCACTGGTTTTAGCACGAAACCCAATACCCTGGAAGGGAAACTCTGTATTGTAGTATACATAGACGGTGAAGGCCTCATTGAATATTTTAGACTTTTGCATTTTATAACAGCACGTATTTCCAGGACAACGTTGTTTTAATGTTTACCGATTATTGCATCTGATGGTATCCATGGATGTTCTCCCAAACTTTGTGATACTTTTGACATTATCAAAATACAAAATGGCCTCCATGACGTTATTTACGGCAACAAAGACTGATTATATGAAATAGTTTCGTTAACTGTTATTGTATCTGTGTCAACAATAAGGTTTATCAGTGTAATGTTTATGATATATACTGCATGTATCAGTATGCGTCAGAATTGCTTCAGGTATGTTCACCGCCATTTTGTAAACATTAATGTCTTATATTTATTTATCTTTTAGATTCTATATGCTATGCTTCGGTTGGAAATAGATTGAACATGAACTTGGTATGCTTGGATGAATGGAAATGAAGTTTGTTCAATGTCACAGGGGTCAAATGTGTATCAGTTATTCCTCCTTTAATGATTTTTTTTTTCAAAAATGTCTCTGACTTTTGATTCTTTAACCACCAACTAATCATGATTCCATCAATATCGTTATTTCTTTCAGTCTGTTTTTTGGGACAGGAAGCGACGTCCACCTTTATTCTTGTGAAACTGTGACAACCTGTAATGTAATTTCTAGGTTTTATAAAAACATTGATGCGATTATGATAGTTATTCAGTGGTCACACAGAAGTTGGTCTGTATCTATTTCAGTGGTGTCTTACTAGGCTACATATATATATATATATGTACATTCGCTACAGTGTATGTTTCTCGTCCAAACTTGTTTTTACATCTGAATGGTTCTTTCCGTACCCTGTACTATTAATGGATAGATATAGAAAATTAGATATTCATCTCTACAAACAGGACACATGTATTGCTTAATCAATACGCCTTTGGATTGTTGACGGAGGTCCTCTCTTCTGTCATGCGCATTACTGTATATGAAACATTTTACTAAATCGCACGTGAATGTAATTGTTGCGTAATGGAAGTCACCTTTTTCTTGTTCATTTTCATACAGTCGGTAGCAGCACAAATGACAATAGTATATTTCCATTTTATCATCAGTTTCCCATTTAGTTCTTTGTAAACCAGATGGGAGTATATCAGGCTAGCGTATGAATACACATTCGATGGCGAAGGTGAGACGTTCACAAAAAGTAATCCTGGTAGATATCAATGTAATAATGACATTATGTGTTGCAATCGCCTATATATAATTAACAGGCGCCATTCTATATACCTTACACCTGGATTAGTTTTTATGTCAACTGTATACCTTATCTGGTTGTTACAATATTGTTTAAATAAACATCGATAAGAAGACGGAGTGATAAAAAATCCCTTATTTTGTAAGGGAATGTTTATTCTTATGTGTTGAAAACGTTATAGAAGTCAAAGTTTCGTTTTATTAAAACAAAGTTACCTACAATTGTCATATAGGCACAGTATAGCTGCCAAGCTGCACATTCTGTCCCGCACCACAACGTTGAACACGCGACAATGGTGTATGTCTACGATCCAGTATCGGTAGGTAAACCAGGCAAACCGTAATGTGAATTTCCTCTACTCACCTGTGACCTAGCCATAATACTTAAGCTTTGATCTAGTTTATTGTTGAAAACATATCATTGATTAAGTAAGCCTCATTAAGAGAGTTCGAAGGAATACTGTCCATGTTTATTACATTTTTGCCAATAAAATATTGGTAGAATACAACGTAAAGAAATATCTCCCAGAGTGCATTGCGGTTCCCAACATATCACCACTCGGAACTCCTCGAATATGACTAACGCCCGAAGCACACCCGAGGAGTTCCGAGTGACACATCACTGTCTGAACGTAAAGTAGCCTATTCCAAATGACGTCGTCTTGTTGTCAAGCTTAACGCAAAATAACGCATAAATGTTTTTATGTTTGGATCGTCCTACTTTTTAAAATTTTTCTTTTTAAAATGTTATAAAGAGAGAATTTTATTGTTTGACGTTTGAGTTCATGTCATATGTATTTCACTCGTAAGACAGAATATCTCTATACAGTTTTTCACATTTACGTCGCACTTGTGAAAAATATAGATATTGTGTCAAACACATGAAATATAAATGTTATTAAACGAGAAAATATCATCGATATATTTTGGATATATAGATGGTCGGTTACAACACTGCACTAACTATTGTTTAGTTTGTAGCTAAAAGCATAGCGACAGTATTTATTTTTCTCTTCTGTGCAAGCAGTGTTTAACACGATAGTGCATATTTGGAATATCTTGTAAATTGAATCGAAGTCCGTGAAAAGGAAAACATTTTTTGAACGGTCTCTCTTCAAAAATATTCTTGCTTCTTGTATTGCATCAACTTTACTTAAACAAGCTAATTTTGACTTGCACGTGACGTTTTTTCAATTTGGAGACAATGCCTTGATCTCATTAGGTAATGATGTCAAAACCTCTTTTTCACACGAGTCGACGTTTATGTAAGATACTGGCTCAGGCATGTTTAGACCACAAATTTAGATTAAGATAACTGTTCAATACAAACGAGAAAATTTTTGGTAGTTTCCTATCTATTTAGATATGTACGTCCATGTCAAGACGCATTAAACACGTGACATTTTGTATGTCTTTAACAGCACTACATGGTGGCACGAACCCACTCCACATGTTACTTCATGGCATTGAATATCCATCAGATACATCAGATACATGAAGTCAACGGTCTGGAACAAGTCGAGGTATAAATAATAAGCTTAACTTTATAAATACAACAATGGAGCCAAATAAATGAAGCCACTGCGTCAATATTTGACTCCTAAATGATGTGGACTATCATTGTTAAACCTAATGCATTGTTGGCGGGGTAATTACATTACTGCAAAGTTATTACTGTACTGTCATCTGTTATATAGTATTAATGTTTTATCGGGGAATTTTATATAAATTTGTGTTTAATGTCGACGTAGAAACCACAACCGTTGTTAAAACGAAAGTTTTTTGCTTGTGTAAAATCAGATTACGGAATTGTACGTATTATGTAATACAGTTACCAAATTAGTTTCTTGATTTCAGAGAATGATGTTGATAACACAACGTACAGTAATAACAACATGACATCACCATTTCAGAGAATGATGTTGATAACACAACGTACAGTAATAACAACATGACATCACCATTTCAGAGAATGATGTTGATAACACAATGTACAGTAATAACAACATGACATCACCATTTCAGAGAATGATGTTGATAACACAATGTACAGTAATAACAACATGACATCACCATTTCAGAGAATGATGTTGATAACACAATGTACAGTAATAACAACATGACATCACCATTTCAGAGAATGATGTTGATAACACAATGTACAGTAATAACAACATGACATCACCATTTCAGAGAATGATGTTGATAACACAATGTACAGTAATAACAACATGACATCACCATTTCAGAGAATGATGTTGATAACACAATGTACAGTAATAACAACATGACATCACCATTTCAGAGAATGATGTTGATAACACAATGTACAGTAATAACAACATGACATCACCATTTCAGAGAATGATGTTGATAACACAATGTACAGTAATAACAACATGACATCACCATTTCAGAGAATGATGTTGATAACACAATGTACAGTAATAACAACATGACATCACCATTTCAGAGAATGATGTTGATAACACAATGTACAGTAATAACAACATGACATCACCATTTTTATAGTTTAAAGTTGTGTCCTTGGTCGTTCTCCACTCTCTGTATGTTATATTTTGATTTTATACATTTCTCATTACTTGGAAAAAATACAGAAATTATCTCCCATTGGACTGATCAAAGAAAAGAGATTTGAAGGCGTCATTTACGGATACAAAGTGTTCACGGATGCTCGCTGTCTGACGGTCTCTGGCCAACCTCAGATTACTTATACACATTGTATTCGTAAAACTATGGACTTTGTGCCCCAATGAGTTCTACTAGTCGGGGTTTTACTGCACTATAATACAATAAATTTGTTTTTATTAATATTTTATAAATAGCAGTTGATATTTTAACATCCTTCCTAGTAATATGTAAGCTTCAAACAAAGAAGATGTTCACATATAATAGTCACTCAATGACGTTTTTATCGCTGGGAAATCCTAATTTGCACATGGTTGTAAGATACATTTGTAAACCATTATACCGAAAAGGCTTGGTCACATTGTACTGACAAGGGTAAGGATACATTGTACTGACAAGTGTAAGGTCACGTTGTACTGAAAAAGGTTAGGTCACATTGTACTGACAACGATTAGGTCACATTGTTCTGACAAGGGTGAGGTCACCTTGTACCGACAAGGGTTAGGTCACATTGTACTGAGAAGTGTAAGGTCACGTTGTAATGAAAAAGGTTAGGTCACATTGTACTGTCAACGATTAGGTCACATTGTTCTGACAAGTGTAAGGTCACATTGTTCTGACAAGGGTTAGGTCTCATTGTTCTGACAAATGTAAGGTCACATTGTACTGACAAGAGTTAAGTGACATTGCACTGACTGGACTATGTCACATTGTACTGAAAAGGATTAGGTCACATTGTTCTGACAAAGGTTAGGTCACATTGTACTGACAACGATTAGGTCACATTGTTCTGACAAGGGTGAGGTCACATTGTACCGACAAGGGTTAGGTCACGTACTGACAAGGGTCGGTCACATTGTACTGACGATGGTTAGGTCACATGGTTCTGACAAGGGTTAGGTCACATTGTTCTGACAAGTGTTAGGTCACATTGTACTGACAATGGTTACGTCACATTAACTGACAAGAGTTTAATGACATTGTACTTACAGGACTATGTCACATTGTACTGACGAGGCTAGTTCACATTGTACTGACAAGGGTTAGGTCACATTATAGTGCCAACTTTAAGGTCACGTTGTTCTGACAAGGGTTAGGTCAAATTTTACTGACAAGGGTTAGGTCACATTGTACTGACAAGGGTTATGTCACACTGTACTGACAAGGGTTAGGTCACATTGTACTGACAAGGGTTAGGTCACATTGTTCTGACAAGTGTTAGGTCACATTGTTCTGACAAGGGTTATGTCACACTGTACTGACAAGGGTTAGGTCACATTGTACTGACAATGGTTAGGTCACATTGTACTGACAAGGGTTAGGTCACATTGTACTGACAAGAGTTAAGTCACATTGTACTGACAAGGATTAGGTCACATTGTTCTGACAAGGGTTAGGTGACAATGTATTTACTAGGTCACCTGTGACTAGATCTTCGACACTGGTAGAGTGTGATACACTGATATGTAAATTCAAGAGTTCACTAGGATCAGACATGACGATCGATGATGTCCTATAGAAAAGACGCTTCATATTCGGTTGACTTTTGTGATAAAACATTTTATCGAAGTTCATACGAGAATCAATATGCAATGACGTAAAAATTGTTTGTTTTTCAGCTGCAAATGGTTGCCTCCATAAATGGTGAAGAAGAGAAGTTAAGCCAGTCCATCATAGCCCACGTCTATCGTATTGTGGACCATACCTGTAAACACCACACATTATTACTTGTTAATTCAACGCCGGCCACTACCCCACAATTTTAAGATGGTCATGGTTTGAATATTAAATAAGTTCCTTGATTTTTTTCCAGTTCATTTTTCATACATTTTGTCTTAAACGTCAAAGTCAGAGAAGGTTACGTTGGAGGCGACAGGTGGAAATGATATTTATTGATAAAAACCTCGTCATCTTGTCAATACCTTAACTTTTCTGTGTTTTTTATTTCAGATTTGACACAAAAATAATATTTGGCATCCAAGTTATTCCTATGACTCAATGTAAATTTGACGATTCTAGTTTGGTTTGGTTTTATACTGTTTAACGTCCTATCAATGAGGTGAGAAGTGCGGAACAGTTATAGTACAATCACACTGAAGTTTACTACCTAAGGATTTCAGAACCCATCATATATATACAGTTAATTTAATTTCCCCTTAGGAAAGTGGATCCAAATCGACTTAGTCGATAATGGCGTTTTTAGAAAAAACGAGACCCCAGAGGGATTTTATCACTCACCATAGTATGATCTCTATATATAGGATTTTATTTTCTTGGTCTTATCCCTTCTTCTGTCCGTTATTTCCGTGAACATATATAAGGCACAAAGAGAGACCTGCACAGATCACTCCAGTACGTCAAGAAATATCGATAACACACTATAACTGTCAAAATCCAAGACGACCGCCTGTTAACCTGCTAATATCGGTCCTTAAAGGACAATAGTTAACAGGTTGGATATATGATATCGGGAGAATGCCCCATCCAGTGCTTCTCAAGAAACGTTCAAAACAAGAAATGCTTTAGAACGTACAGAAGAACGAGTGATCTGGGCCAAACATTGTCTGACGGCGGACGCCGGACAGAGGAACGATGGACACCGCGTCATGGCATCATCTCACCCACAAGACTATGTGAAACAAGGAAAACCCAACAACATATGCTTTAAGATTGTGAAAATAGACAAAAACGAATAACATCATTTAATATAGATTAAGCGTTAGATACAGTACAGACCGATGGTACCGCCCCATAAAGCTGTTTCGTCCTTCTAGGACTTGTCAGTGATGCTACATCATACAGCTGTTTCGTTCTTCTAGGACTCGTCAGTGATGCTAACGGCCTAAAATTTCAAATTTAAGAGGCGAATGAAGAGATTTAAAATCGATCTAAAGAATTAGCAAAATACAGATGGGACAGTGTTCTAATCCTGTACTTCTATGGATTTCATTATCTGATAATTTCTTCAGTATGGCTAAATATGATCTCATTCTTTCATTTCATTGTAGCATCATATAGATAGAGAATACTTGGTCAATTTCTTAAGATATAAGTTTAGTTTTGCGAGGACGAAGAAAAAAAAAGTGGCGGGCCATTTTTGTCCTTCTGTCCTCAGTCAAAATGCAGCTTATGGTTTAAGACATTGACCATGTATTCTATTTATCCTGCAACACTGATTGAAAATCAGACAATCAAAACCTCAACAGTTTTGTTGTTCAATCTATATTTACCTGACGTTGACCTTACCTTGAAAATTGCCTAATCACGCACGACAAAATAATTGCTTCGCGCGGAAATATAGTCCCAAACTTCAACGGATATGACAGCGATTTTACGAATTTTTGTCAATAAATTTGACTGTTACAAAAGGTAAAACCTCTTATTTCACAAGTCGTTAAACTGTTAAATGTATTAATTAAGTAAATTCAGAAATAATTCTTTCGAATCACCACGGCTAAAATACAGCTGTTTTCCGTCACTGCCAAAAACAGCAAAACTTAATCTAACAGGTGTATTCCGACAATGACAGTGCCAGTTGCAGAATAAAAAACTTTTATGAATCCGTCTGTCGCCATCTTATTTTTTGTCGGTATCAAATACTAAAGCGAAACAATAGCAAAACCACAATGTTATCAATATTTATTCCATATAGTTTGTCACCTTTGATTTTCCTGGGAGTAAACAATTTTCACCACTGCTTCAGCTCCAGCTCTCCGCGTTGATTTGACTATCTCACGTGTTAAAAGCTACATAGGTTTCAATAGCAAGTTGAAGATGTTTTATTACGTTTAATATATGTAATTTGCTTTATAACGTTATAGTTAATGCAAAGTGTATCTTTAGCTGCCACAAACTAACGAAGATTTCAATAACTTGGCGTCAGACGTGCCGCGGACAGTTGTCTACTGGTCAAGACAGAAAATCCGATCTTCCAGAATAACACAGCCTTCTCCTACTGAAAAGAAATGACACTAATTATAACAGGACAATGATAAAACCGCTTATATTAAATAATATTAATGAAACCGTTGTTTCACCAAAAACCATATTCAGGAACTCTATGTTAAGTCAGTATATTGTTTTCATTTCTGCATAAAAATAAACAAACGATGAAGGTCAAATATCCTGAGTTTTATTTTTCACTAGATTCGAAGAAAGAATAAAGATGAAGTAAATTCTTTTGAAATAAAAAAATATCGAGACAATAATTACATCTCGGCTCGGATGCAACATATGTTGATACTACGATTGACCAAAGATAAATTAGTCACTTTTTTCTACACAGTTTTCGTCCAATTATTGCGCTATGAATTATGCCGTCCACAGTTCGCAGTAATGTCCTGAACTATAAATATAATTATTAGTCTAAATGTATTATTACGAGTTTTCGGCGGTCAAAATCTATCTTCAAGGTGACAATGCAAGTTAAAAAGAAAACATTTTGAGTTTATAAATAAATAAATGTTTCCGTTTCCCAGTTTCCCGGTTTGAAGAGGTTGCAGGCTTTGTATATCTTCGGATGCCCGTATAGTTTCCAGGCAAGGACTAAACTCTCTGTTACTTCCTAATATACAATGTTCCGAACACATCATTAACTTATGGGGAGGGGGTTGGGTTGTCTCAGACAAGTAATTTTTTAACTTGCATTGTCAGCTTTATCTTAAATAATGTCGAATTTGTTAGAGGTGGCGTTTTGACGTGTTTCATACAAGATTCTGTTTAGTATACAATACTTTTGGTTTCAATTTTGTTGGTTTATTTATTTCTTCATGACCACGCATATTCACGCTGGTATTTCATTTACACTGATATCGATCACATGTTAAATATACAATAACTTTGATGTAAATATGATAACTTACCTGACACTGGTGCCTGCCAGACCCCGTAAGGACCATCATCCTCGCCTAGCACTTGTGACATACCGCACTGACACATGATCAAAACGAGCAGAAATACTAGGTAGTATGTTGGAAAGTCCATGCTGGTCATATGAATAAAAAGTGCCCAGAAAGATTTCGTGTCAGGGTCTTTATTTATATACCACGTTGTTGATATTCATGGCCGAAAGAATTTGTGTTCTATGTTCTATCAGTTGTCAGCTTGTATTTTGTGATGTCAGTGCCGTTTTATCCTTGTAATGTACTACTTTAGGCTTATTCTAGAACACAATTCGGTCAGTGATACATGTGCCGGATATCATGTTATGTTGACCGCACGCCTAAAGAAGGGTCATAACCTGGTGATCGCTTCCGTTTAAGGATATGGTTGTCTACAGGAAATGGCACTGTGTTATCAATTATGTAACATATGTATATGGAAATATATTCCCTTAAAGTTATTACATCAAAGATATTAAACATCTCCGGACTGAATATATATAACTTCGCACACACCTTATTTCCTTCTCAAGTACCAGTTTTAAGGAACTTTGATTTTGAGGGTATTTTTTAAAAATATTTCTTACCAAATATCAAATATACGATAGTTTTAACAGATTTACACAAACGTTTTCAATAGCATTTTTTGGTGATTCTTTTTCTTCTTTTATCGATATTCGGCAAAAATATATTTAAAAAAAAACAAGAGATGACAGAGGGCTCTATCAGTATTTGGCCTTGATTTGTAATTTGAAAGACTTTCCCTTTCTTTTTCTCTTTGTTTTTGTTTCTAAATCTGCTTCCTTGGTAGGTATCTAACGATATAACTTAGACTAATTTATATCTACCAGTAATCCATCTGTGTTAGTAAACACATCACCACTGTTGTATGATGGCTTGCTTCTCTGTGAATACACATGTAATTTACCGGATACATTTGTTGCTATAAAATTAGAATCCAATGGTATCAATTAAGAATTCCATACCAATATGACATTTGGATGATAAAATTATTTTGGCTTTTTAGAAGGTTAAATTTTGGAAAGAGAAACACAGTATCATTTCTATTATAGAATACTGCTATTGTTGAACCACACTAGGAACCAATGTAGGATAACGTCACATATCATATATTTGTGCATCAGATTGTTTCGCGGAATTTATATATAAACATTAATGTTTTGGTTTTCTGACCATTGCTCGGAACATTGCCTACAATGTTATGAATCCACTGTCGCAAGTCTTACCAAGGTATACCCATTGTCTACATTTACCATCAAGTCCAATATTGGCATGTTAATAGTACGCAAATACTTGTTTTCAATATATGATTATATTTTCAGGTTAGATTCAACACAGTTGGTATTGGCTCAAGTCACGTGATCTTTATAAATTTTGTCGATTTTCTTTCTTCTTTTTTTCAATTTCTTTGCTAAGTATCCTCTCTGCATTTCAACCGTGCTTGTTACAGTTTCATTACTTTACGTATGATACATCACAATTTTCCATTTCATAGTGCTGTGAGTTCTTAAAGCTGCAATCTTGTCCGTATGCTCACAATGCCATGTTACTGCTTGCGATTTCACATTTGTGTTTGTTCCTTTCTGATATACTTGTTCACTGTAATGCCTATGTATAGGCATTGTGATGCCATTGTCTTGCAAATAGATCCATATTTTTTGACACCTTGCCTTTGTCTTTGGCTACAGTGATCGGCATCCCTGTGTGTATTGCTTCCCAAGGTCAGATACCTGACTGTGCTGCAAGTGTGACTAAAACTGCAAATTTCATGACCACAGGTCTTACATTTACTACAGGAAGAAATTAACTCTTATTTTTCAGGAGTTTCTAAAAGAAACATAGACTTTGAGCATGATTTTATTTCCAGTGGAAATAACCAAATCCAAACTTGATTAGAACAATACACATGAAGGTGCAGTTAAAATGGATTTAAAGTGCTGCTAGTTGATGTTTTGGAGATTGTACAAAAGACAAACATCTTTACATGTAAATTTCGAGTTAGAGTAAACTGCATCATACAGCTGTTTCGTCCTTGTAGGACACGTCAGTGCTTCTACATCATACAGCTGTTTCGCCCTTTTAGGAATCGTCGGTGATACTACATTATACAGCTGTTTCGCCCTTTTAGGACTCGTCAGTGCTACATCATACAGCTGTTTTGCCTTTTTAGGAATCTTCAGTGCTTCTACATCATACAGCTGTTTCGTCCTTCTAAGACTCGCCAGTGCTTCTACATCATACAGCTGTTTCGCCCTTTTAGGAATCGTCAGTGATACTACATCATACAGCTGTTTCGTCCTTGTAGGTAACGTCAGTGCTTCTACATCATACAGCTGTTTCGCTCTTTTAGGAATCGTCAGTGATACTACATCATACAGTTGTTTTGCCTTTTTAGGAATCTTCAGTGATGCTACATTATACAGCTGTTTCGCCCTTTTAGGAATCGTCAGTGCTTCTACATCATACAGCTATTTCACCCTTTTAGGACTCGACAGTTTACTACATTATACAGCTGTTTCGCCCTTTTAGGACTCGTCAGTGCTACATCATACAGCTATTTTGCCTTTTTAGGAATCTTCAGTGATACTACATTATACAGCTGTTTCGCCCTTTTAGGAATCGTCAGTGCTACATCATACAGCTGTTTCGTCCTTTTAGGACTCGACAGTTTACTACATCACACAGCTGTTTCGCCCTTTTAGAACTCGACAGTTTACTACATCATACAGCTGTTTCTCCCTTCTAGGACTCGCCAGTGATACTACATCATACAGCTGTTTCGCCCTTCTAGGACTCGCCAGTGATACTACATCATACAGCTGTTTCGCCCTTTTAGGACTCGTCAGGGGTATTTTACAGCATTTTCTCCCAGTAGACACACAGCTTACCGCTTCGTTCATTAATTATGATATTGATGAATGTTATTAGAAATGTCATAGAGAATCATATATGTTCAACTATTGCTTTCATAAAAAAATTAGAATCTAGTGATCGAAGTGCAGTCATCCGGAAACGTATTTCTCAATCTGCTATTGGTTTGATTTCAAATGGATTCCATACTGCCTTCGTTGATTTCAACATATAACAGCTAAATCATTATGAAAACCATTACCTGGTCTCTGTTTCTAAAAGGTAAGTACGCTGGAACAGTAATACAGACAGGAATATATCCGACAGACACATCGACAACTAATGACATCTTACCATATATGGATTGATTCGTTAATGGCTAATGCATGTCCTGTCTCTACATTCGACGTGAACACAATATGTTTAGTTTAATTATCAATCAATAACTTCAACTTTATTAACAATTGTATAATGAATGTAAACTGCCATTTAAACACATAATGAAATAGTGGTAGGTCCACTCCTGTTTATTGGATAGTTAATATGTAATTCAAATCGTGACACACTGTCTGTTAACGCTTTTCCGTCCAATCTTTTCGTACGAAAGATTTGTCTGGATTTTCCGGAAAATTTATATTGGTCTATTTGCATTCTATTTATGATGTTATGACCATGAGAGGATATGCAACACGATATCACTTGGTTCAATATTGTTTTTTATAATAAATATGAAATATGATATACAACTCATTGTTAATTATCATGATTAACATGTTGATTTTCAGAGCTCCTCATTACACCAACGAATATTAAAACATTAATACAACTGATCAGTGTACTGGGAACAAGTGTGATTCCAAAGGTTGAAGTGATTACCGTGTGACCAATTAATGGCATCATGAAGGATTTTAGAATCTGTGTAGTGACACTGTTTTTTATCGTCAACACTATCAAGATTGTATACGGTCACTGTTCATCCGTCACTGTACCTCTGTCCTTTTTCGCTCAAGAAAACAAGACTTTAACAGGGTTTACATATCGTCGAATCACACATGTACCCAACGTCCAGATATGCGCCAAGAACTGTCTTCTTCATCGGAAGTGTCGTTCGATCAACTACAACAGTGACCTTTTGGATTGCGAGTTGAACTCTGCAGACCATCTTGGCGAGCCACAAGCGCTGTCCACATCCGTGACGTCACAGTACTACATCATTGATGGTTGGCCTGAGGTATGTACTTTAACAATATCTTTTCCTTGAATCCATTAATTAGTAAGTAGATAACTTAATTCATTGAACCGTAAAGTCGTATACCTGCTCTGCGACGTGTATGATTGGAAGGGTTGGCATTATCTTAGACTTATTGTTCTCTCCTTCGTTTTTCTCCGTAGAGCATTTGCGGACACTGTCTTACCTTAGTATTGAAGTCTATCAAAACAAAGAGAAAATGTGACATATGAATAATACATAATTAAAACTCAAATTCAATAACACCAGGGCAAAATATGAAGAAAAGAAAGATTTGCACGGCATCCCCTGAAAAATACAGCAGTAATAAGGTCTTGTTTTTCCGGAAGAGAAAAAATCTTCAAAGCTTCATCAAAGACATCCCAATGTAAATATTGGTCAAGTAAGTAGTGTAATGTTCCCAAATGAGAATAGGCAATACAACAACAAAATCATCAGACAAACTAACCAGCATCAAACATCGTATGCAATATTTGGTCAATTTTCATTTATAGCAAGGCTGACCAATTTTTTTTTATCTCATATGAAACACAAATTCGTACAAGGGATTATATTTGTGATCACATATGTGAAGTATCGTGTAGCCTGTAGAGCAGTGAATGTTTTCCCCTATCTATAGTACCGGTCACCTAACTTATATCGTAAAGAATTGAAACATGATCTTGTACAAGAGTGGTTGCTTAACAAACATCGTGGCAATCGGATAAGAAATACAACTTGAAGAGCGGTGATGTCGTTTTTGCTCACCTGGTCCATATGGCCAAGTGAACTGTTGGCATACCGCGGTGTTTGTCCGTCAACTGTTCTATAATCGCTACTTATCATGAACAACCAATGAGATTTTGTTAAAATTGTGTCAGAAGCATCTTTGGGGGAGGGAAACAAATGTTGTGTAAATAGTGGGTGTCAGCAATCAGGGACCTGAGGTTCGGGCTCAGAATTGGGGCAAAGAAGAATTAATTTTGTATAAAGGGTGGGTCTTGAGCCCCTAGGAAGGCAGGGACGGGGTCCAAAATCCTTCTCATCCTTATAGGAATGATTTGGTCTGAAGTATCAATGGTTTGGCTGACTCCCTAAGAGGGTTGGGTTCCAAAAGGAAAACGGACATGTTTTGTCAAGTAATGCCTGGGTCTCTTGTTTTTTATTTGTAATAACAGTAACTTGGTTGTGACTGCAAACGGTTGAAACACGATCTCAAACAAGAGGATGCTTGTGAAAAATGTTTGTGAAAGTATCGTGACGATGGGATCAGAAATGCAGACCGAAGAGCAATGACTAACTTTGTACACGTACACAAAGTATACTTTGTTACGTGTGCCAAGTGCTATTTGCAGTATGTGGGTAAGACCAAAACACTACTTGAACTATAATTCATGCCAAGCCATAAACACATGACATGCAGTTTGTCCCCACTGCGGGGAACACATAAAAATATGGTACAATTACGACACGATTCATCATATAGAAAAATGCTATTGATCCGAAGGTTCCAGGTTTGAATTACCTGTCATAATTGTGCCCGAGTTTGATATGTGTTGTATGTACATTGTGATTCAAGATTTTATATCAGTTGATGAGATAATCTTCTACCATTATCAAGTCGAGAATTTCTAGCTGTCTATCAGTAAAATTTCCAAACATCTTTTTTGGGGGATGTCATGGTGGTGTCTGAAATTTCTTGGACAGGCGATTTGGTGACGTATGTCGTAAGTGTAAGGCCCGGACAAAGTACGAGTGAAAAATTGTCTTCCCTCGTCAGTTGTGTTACAATATCCTTTGTAATTTTTACAATGTTGCTTATAATACCTGATAACTTTCGTCTCTGTGTTTTTGTGCGTTATATTTGTGGGTTGTTCTGTGTCATGATGATGAATTGTGTCATGTTTAACGAGACAATTTAGTATGCATGTCCTAATATTGACAAAATATTACGCTCTCCATACATTAATAAACTCTAAGGACAATCAACACAAGGGCACTTTGAGCTATCGAGCATGCCCAAACCCGTCTCGAGAATGTCAACATAAATGGCTTCAAACCCGTAGCTTGAGCCAGTGAAACTAATTACAGGGTCTCACACCGAACAGAAATGGATGCGAAAAAATTGTTGCTTGATAAGAATATGAGAGATGGAACGTATTGTATGCAACGTATTTAAGTAAATCATAACCCCGAGAAATATTCATATCTCCGTGTTATCCCTCTGTTCTTCAATCACATGGGTTTGTTCCCGCCAGAGGGCGCGTCATTTCGTGCTATATGACGATTTTTGCTATATTTGGCACTGGCTTCCCGAAAATATAAACTGACCGCAACAGACATTGGCTACGTAACAAACAACTTTTATACACGATTTTATTTTCGTCTGGATATGTACATCTTCGATTCTACTTGAATTAGAAGAAACGTTGGTAAAATTGGATAAAGTCATGAAACAGGATCTTCTAAGTGATACATATATTATTTATCACTTTGATAATGTGAATAATCTTTATAAAATCCTGCTGGATAAAAGGCAATGCCTTTTCAATATAACAATACTTTCTATTAATAGAAATGCCCGTGAGGATTGGCATTATCGATAACATTACAATGTATTCCGTAAGGAACAGAACATTAATCAAATACAAGAAAGGGAGATTGAAATAAAAATTGAGTTGTATTATTTAACAATATATTTCGCTGCAGTCATCAATGGCAATTGATTATGACTTTCTATCAATTGCGTATAGCTTGACAGAACTAGTATTGAACGGAACAATATGCCACATAATATTGGATTGATTATTATGTCAAAATGTCGAAATAGTAAAATTGAGTTTGAGCACTGTTTTATGTTTACGTAATGAATTTAAACATACAAAGGCAATGTAAATATTAGCGCTGAAAGAAGGACAATTATTTTAAAAAATATCTTAAAATCAAAATGCTGTTCATGAAAGGACAATAACTCGTCTAATAATTATAAAATCACATTGCGGTTAAGAGTTTACTTCATGTAATGGTTATAAAGCCCGTGTAATTCAGATAGACCGGGTAAAATAAGATAGATCTCCATGCCTCATTAAATTGTTGAATAAAAACAACGAGAAGTGATTCTTTAAAAAGTTTTGATATCGACATAAAACTGACAAGGGAGATTTGCAGACAAGAGACAGTCTTTAAACAAAGGGCAGTAACCTTTTCAAATATAGTCAGATGACACTGACACGGGAAAATGTGTCTTGGTTATTAAGCTTTTTGAATTATGAAAATGCCAATGGGTAGTAAATATTCTAAGGGCAAATCAAATGAACTGTTGTGGGGATTAGGCTTATGACGTTCCTAGACTAAAATCGACAGTGATAGCTTTTTACCAAGCTATATGATAGGCGTGATAGTATCGATACCAGCATGATTTTTTCCATTTCTGGATAGCAGCGTCCTTGCCTCCCAATCCTATGATGTTTACAAGTTACAATTGATTAATATTCAAAAAGTCTGTTCCCAATATTACGATTTTCGTGCAAATTGCCATCAACTGATAGACAAGATCATAACATAGGGTTTCAAGAGACTCGGGTTGATAAAAGTGATGGGGAAGATGTTATAGTGTTCCCTATTTTCGTATGAAATATGAAATTGGCACTGTTTGATGATCGTTAGTATAACTATTGGTTCAGTTGCTGCTTACCGTGTACTATTTTGTATACGTGGCATTGGTTATCTGAATTGACCGAGACGTTTAAATGATGGATGCCGTTGATGAAGCAGAAGACGCTTATTCTTCCGGGACAACTGCTCTTATCACCCTAGTACTTTTTCAGGAGTCTTCTCTTTTGTAAATTTTGTCCTTAATCTATTGAATTCAGTTTGGATCATGATTCTTTTGGTATGTTGTTATTTCCTTTTCTATTTTGAAAGCGATTAGTGTAAAACTGAACGAAGAGATATTCGGAAAAGATAAACATCATCAAATCGAACAAAGGGGCAGTAACTGTTCCAAATACGGTCGAAACATGGTAAGTATGCCTACCAAATTAGAAAGCTGTCAGTTTAAGACTGTTGGTAGATCTCCGAACACATGAAAGTTTGCAATGAACAAATGACGAATAACGCATTACCATAACACGGCAAACTTTACGACAACTTCAAAAAAGTAGAAATTCGATTTCCCTGGCAGTTCACTTTCAAAATATTTATACAAAAGTGTTATTCATGAATATATTAAATAAACAGAAAAACCTTCCACACAATACCTATTAAATCAAACACAAAAGCACGTGGGAAAAACACTAATGATTCCCATCTCTCAATAGAAATTTACAATAAGGCACAGATACAAAAAGATAATGAAAATTACATTATACACTTGTTTTGTCCTAGTATGATTCATCCGTAATGCTTATGGCCCAGGAACAACAGCCAAGTTCATATCAAGATGGAACCGCTGGCAAACGTTTTTATAGTACTGTCACACTGAAGTGTCAATGTCATATAAAGGTTTAATAACATTCATGGTCACATGATGTAAACAACGGGCAAACCAGTCCTTGTCCATCCCATTTCATAACAACAAGGAAAATATACCAGCATGTCAACACATTCGTCTATAGTAAAAAACGAACAAGAAAACGCTTTATACGGAAAAGTTAAATTAAAACCAGTGCACATCTTTCTGCTGAACTATGTAATATTAAGGAAGATTGCAAAACCAGACACTAACCCAGCTTTAACGGCTCGATCCAGTTCCTAATAAACTGGTAAACCTTTTATCTAAACTTTTCAGGGTATAAATTACGGCATGGCAACTTGCAAAGCAATATGCACTGTGGTATTTTACTAATGGTTTTTTTTTAATTTGCAGTTCTATCTAAATCCAGACCACTCATATATATGTTTTACCTGGCATTTTTTTTCTCGTGTTACGTTATTTGTTACTGGTAACGGGAACTGTCTCCATGGAGCATTCCTTAGATCAGTGATTTTGAACAATTGGGATGATACAATGAATTGTTTAAATCTTATCTCGTTACGATTCCTCTTATTGCAGTCATTATCTAGATTGTCGCTAGGATACATTAACTCGCTTGTGCTTGATTTGTTAAAGATTCATAACCTTTTTTATCTCGCTATGAATGACACCTGGGTATGCAAGTGTAGCATTCAAATGGACTTTGAAATGGTTTACAGTCAGCAACATTAACTTGTATAGTTCCATTAATGGAAACCTCGAGGGACAAATTGTGACAAAGGTAAGCACTCGTTGCAATATACAGCGCGGCTATAACACGGGCTGTTGAGTGTAGGCGCGGTAAGTTAAAGGTTCCTTGTTCGAATACCGGAGGAAGGATTGGAATAGATAACGATCTCTGTTACGTTGTCGCCCTTGTAGAGATTTTGTTAAAATATTTGGCATTCCTCTACATATTACTCCCTAAAGCTCGTGCACGAATTCTCTTTTGAAACATCTACGTAACCCTCGTTAACACTGGTGCAATGCATAATTTGACTAAAAATATCATACATTTAGCTAGGTCGGTTGAGCATGCTATTAGTAAGCTAAAGGTTCCTGGTCTGAATCCTAAAGGAGTCACTGAAATAAAAAAAGTGATCACAGTGAGAAAAACAAAAACAGAGTTTTGACCAGACCTGCACGTAGGGTGTAATAATTGTGCCTTCTGTCAGGCGTATCTTACTCTAAATGTGTTTTAAAAAGTACTATAATTTTTGTATATACTCGCATGTGGTTTTTACTTAGACCCGAGCCATGCATGCCACGTTTTAATCCATTCGAATAGAGACGAAGCTCAGCATATACACACGTACTTGACGTTGTTTTAAAATTGAAATTTTTGAAAAAGTTATCGAATTATTCGGTTATTGTACCTTCAAATCTAGATTTTGATGTTTCTTTCGATCAGTTTGGATTTTTATCGGTCGCTACCTAGACTTCAGAATTTAGGCCATTAGCATCACCTGCGAGTCGTAGAAGACGAAACATCTGTTTGACGTAGTTCAGTTCATTATTTGGCTTTATCGTAACCAGAGCTATCCACTTGTGTGTCTGTCTTTATACGCGGGTGTGTGTGCGTGACTTTCTTGTGTGTTTGATATTAGTTTCGATATTTAAGAAGATCCTCGCTAATGCATGTAATGCCAGTGCATGTGCTTTTTGGAGGCAGCAATACCTTTATGTAAGCCTCCTTTAGTTAGCACGGACTGGAGCTGACGTTATAGTGTTACCAAACTTAAGTGTACTGCATGCATCTATAAGGAATCCAATCCGGTCACATATTACATTAAAACGGAGAACCAGTTGATACACTACCATAATGCTGAACGTTAAACAGGAAGCAGTAATACTATACAGACAAAAAGAAAAAAACCTCTGGTATGTCTCGGCCTGGGGGACAGAACAGCGATTATGAGTAAGCGCAACTAAAGGCCAAAATTGAGCAATATCAAGAGAGACAAGAAAATAGTTGCTCACGAAGATCAGCAGCCATTACGCGCTGTTATTCAGTTGCCTCATTATGCGATAAAAACATTCTGGATACGGGGAATTTTGAATGGATATTTACAGTTAAAATACTCGAAAAGAATTGAAATATGAAATTTTGTCGTGACTGTTTTGCAATTTGTTTTTTTAGATGTACCATAGCTTTATTGACGAGTTACCGCTAATCCTGTTGATCAAAGCTGTGCCTATTTTTCCACTCTTGTCTTCCGTCTTCATATTTGTAAAGATGTTATTTCACAGGAAACCATTTGCTAACATCGATAAAAAAAAGCCACAGGGTATGATCAGGGTAAGGACGGGCAAATATGGAACATGCTTTACCTGTGTGTGTGTATATATATACTACTCACAATTTGATAGGGATTACTTTTTTATTTAATGTGTAACGGTATCTATTTTCAGAATATATTCTACAGTTCAATTTATACATATTTCGGCATTATAAGATGAAGATTTAACAAAACCAAGCGAAGAATAACAGTATTAATTTGCTTTAATGCGCATCGTACACAGATACCCCGAAAATCGCAAATTACGAAAAAAGGGGCGAAAAATTAAGTCCTACGAAACAGTGTCGTTCAGCGACAAACAGGGTGTTAGTATCGAGTATAACGTCATCGAGCATCAATTATGCTCAGGCAGCGGCGGCGCATGCTTCTGATCAAGTCTCGTATCCGGTTTTGGGGAATACTTGTCCATTCAGCGACGAGAGCTGTTTGAAGTTCCTGAAGCGTTCTAGGTTGGATGTTTCTCGCCGAAACAGCGTTATGAAGCATGTCCCACGCGTGTTCTATAGGATTGAGATCTGAAGATCGGGTTGTCCAATCCATCCTCTCAATTGTTTCCCTTTCCAGATACTGTCCAGTCACACGAGCTCTGTGTGGTCGCGCATTATCGTCCATAAGAATGAATTCCGGACCTGTAGCACCAGCATAAGGCCTGACGTACACGTCCAGGACTTCGTCACAGTGCCTCTGTGCAGTCAGACTGCCATTAAGGAACACATGAAGGTCGGTCTTGTCATGCTAATGCCACCTCAAACCATAACAGATCCACCACCGTATCGGTCATGTTGGGAAACGTTAGCGGCATGGAACCTCTCATTTGGTAGTCGCCACACCCTGGCACGTCGGTCAGTGAAATCTAAGCAAAATCTAGTCTCGTCTGTAAAAAGTACGGGGGACCAGTCATGGAGGTTCCAATTCACATGATCTCGAACCCAAGCAAATCTAGCTTGAACATGTCGTAACGTCAAAGGAATTCTCACAGCAGGTCTGCGCGACCTTAAAGCAGCATCATGAAGTTTATTTCTCACAGTTTGTGTTTAGATTCGAGTTCCGGTGGCTTCTGGAAGTCATTACGTAGTGACGTAGCGTTGATGAACCTTTGACGTCGAGCTGCAATAACAAGATAGCGGTCTTGACGCTGCGAGGTAAGTCGTTCCCGACCCCCACCATGTCTTCTGGAGACAGTTCAATAATTTTGGTAAAGATTCCACATACGGGACACAACACTCTGGGACACACCAAGGTCATTGGCCACCTCCCTTTGTGACCTAAAAGACTGAATCATACCAATGCCCCTGTCCATATCTGAAGTGCTTAGACGTCTTCTAGCCTGCTGTCGGGGCATTTTGAAACCATTAAAATTCAAAATGTAAAGCAAAAAGCGAGATGTTCTGCCACAAACGTATTGATGACAATCTGCACGTAGGAGGCTCGTGTGTGTACACGTGAAGTGTAGGCGTTACGGGTGACTGACCACATAAACACCCGATACACATAGACCTCGGTACAGATATAAACCAACAAATATAAGGAATACGTATTATTTTATTTTAAAAGAAAATTTTGCTAATTATTAGGTGTGATCCCTATCAAATTGTGAGTAGTATATATATATATACATCATGATTCAATAAAGAGCATAATAAACATAAAGACTTTTTATTTCAGCTACTCCTGGGTGGATGTCAACAGCATTCGTGTCCCGCGACGCACGTGTGTGAAGATCAGTTCCTCAGTGTAGATCCCACATTCAGATGTGTGGAATATGAGATTTCGACTACCACTCCTTTGTCCCCAACGATTGGTTGTACAAATCTACTTCCAGCTGTGTCAGGTGAATGGAATTTTATCATATACATTTGTTTATCCTCAAAATTCCATGGCTAACGATTTCTCCATAAAGAGGGCGTAAGGGGTCGTTTTCTCTGGAATTTTGAGAAGATATTTATTTGGCGTGATGCTTAGTTGAATGCATAAATTATCATAAAATTATGTATTTCTTTTTCTGGAGAATGTTTGTATAAATGTGAAGCATTTGTCTTAATGAGAAAGTGTTTAGTTATCAGGAGTATGTCTTGTCAGATTCGTAATAAGACTGTCAAGTACCGTTTCGCTACGTCCAATTTTCAAGTGTGTTTCCATTGAAGTTTTATGTTGACATATTGCTATCTCTTACTGTTTTGTGAACTTCGTAAAATCTCGTGAAAAACGTGAAAAAATATCGAACTTCTAGGTGACAACATCTATATTTATTGAAGTAAACTATGACTTTCTCTAGACTTACTTTGTTTCATTCGAGACTACATTAAAGAGCTCAGCAAAGCAGGTCAGTGCCTTGACAAGTCCTTTAAGCTATAATATTCCTATTGTGAATGTTCACTTTTTTGAAGTATCACGATTTTCTAATAGGTAGTCAATAACTAAGAGATAAACTCACACCACAGGGTTTCGAGAGATGTAGGTTGATGAAAATTATTGGGAATTTTTACATAATTCTCTTATTAAGAAATATATTTTCTTGCGCGATATGAAGATGGACGTGCTTGATGTTGTTTCATAAGATTCTCCATGGTTCCAAGATGTGCATTGTCTATTTGTGGTCTGATCGAAAAAAAAAATTTTGTATTTTTTTTTATTTTTCCAGATTTTTTTAAAAACATATAACAACAATACATCACCACACAAAACTTTCACATCGAAAAATTAAATGTCCCACATCTTTGGCTTATGGTAATAGTTTCTTATAACATAAGTATAACGGTAATTTTTTATCTATTTTTTACGCATCGTAATCGTAGTGAACATCGAAGAGGCCAAAAATATCTGCCTCCATTGTAACAGTTAGGATCTCGATCATTTCTTGACTTCCTTTCTGTGCTTTATATTAAACATTTGATGATACCTTTGACATCTACCTGCTTTAGGGAGGTCTTTAACCCCGTGGAAACAAACTTATTAATGAAACATGAACGTCAGGTCTGAATATAAAGCATTAGGACATTTCAGATAGGTGGTATGTTTGAATGGCTCAATGGCAAGAATACCATTTTTATATGGCATTAGAAGTGTAAATATCTGAAAGATAATCTGTTTTTATTCCAGAAGTGATTGCTAACTCTGAACTTGTAACATTTTCACCTGTGGCGTGTGTCTATTCGCCGGGAATGACATTTGAAACACTGTTGCACAATTACCGCAATGGACAGTTTAACTGGTTCAACCTCCAGCCGGTAATAGATGGATGTGCTGTTCTTGCGCATACGAACTCTTACAAATATTTTGGAATCGAATTTTATGGGGAGTGTTGGGTCGGGAATGATTTCGTTGAATCGTCCCATGAAATGATACCGGCAGACCAGTGTGACTCGAAAACATACAGGGCAGTGGGAACTGAGAATGTTATTTGTGTATATGAAGTATTGTAAATTTGGTTTCTCTTTTAAGCACAGCTCCAAGTCAGTCATAAAACGATGTCATCATTTGGTTGAACGGATTTAAACTAAATTCCATACATGACAGAGACACAATTTTGTATAAACCAAGGGTCTGACTCCTTTGAAGACGGGGACAAATTGAGTTTATAGAGGCAAAGAATATGGCTAAGGCTTAGGTACTTTTAGTTCCTTGTCTGCTGATCAGCATCGAATTAGTTTCACAAGGACTTATAAGCCAATGGTCAGTTTCCAGACTTGAGCTTGAAATTGGATATACATAGGGATTTTTTTTCTACTTTGGCCTCTTGGATAAAATGTCTTTAAATCTCCAAACTGCTTCTCAGTAGCTCAAGGGCCCAAGGTACTGATACTGTGCCAGTGGTATAATTAAATGTAACGCTACGAAGGACAATACATGCTACTTTTGAAGAGTTTTTTTTCAAAAATGCAAATTTTACTTTAACTGACTCTTATCGTGACCATTATCGTGTTCGCAAACAACATGGACTGACAGATGAGTGATTGGGGCCTCTTGTTCAAAAGCTAAAAACGTTTATGGTAACATCTTATTATATATTTCAATCAACTCTGTTCTTTGTGGACAAATTTCAAAACAGACGTGTTGATTCAGGCCTGTTGAATTGAAATCATCACACATATACAGCTTGGTTGAAAGCTGTCCATGTTGGTGTTGTGGAAGGGAAGATCGAGATAAGCGACTGAAGTAGAATAGTATGCTGTGTCATCGATTTCCAGTTCCTATAGACATATACGATAATGTTTTTGTGAGCTGTTTGGATAGCTCTTCCATTCAGCCTCGGGTATTGAAGATTGGTCAAAGGCCCTTTGGAATTATTTGAAATCCACATACTATTAAATCTACTTCTCGAATATACAGTATCACAATAAGACTGTAACTCAGATTTGACAGTTTTACGAATGGTGGTTTGTAGATTTGACAAAGGCTTGGTTTAACAGTTCGCAAGCCATCAATACAACGTTGTTTATATGGATTCTTGAGAAGTTTCAGAATCCAATATAAACGCAAGAGGTCCGTATCCTTATCACTAATAGGCAATGATTGTAATACCAAAGCATGAGCCAGTATTCCTTCTTTCGAAAGATTGTATAGTCTATAGGTGGAGTAACATTCGATATCATACAGGCTTAGTTTGAATGCATGAAATGTAATAATGTTTGCAGGTGTTGGACGTCTCATCTACAGACACAATAACATACCTGTCATGAAAATCTTGAAGTGTTAATTCAACATCAGGATCGAGGAAAACTGACCTACATTTTGTTTTCGGTTTAGACTTCAGGTTGCAAATTGAATGGTGCGCCGAATTGATTTAACCCACTCGAAAAGCGAACTCAACGCACCATGCTTTTGTTTAACCCTTTCTATTGCATATTTTTCAAAGGAATACACAAGAATATTGAAACTCATATTCCAATTAACGGACGGGTTTCACGATAATAAGGACCCTTCATGAAAAGCTTTTGTAACTTAACATTTTGAATCACCTGTTACTATGTGCCCAGTTGAACCATATATTTATAGTTACAGAGGCACAAGAACAAGCTGACAATGGATTACTTCTTAGGTCATTTTTGTTTCATACATAGTTTACCTTCGTCCCTGGTCATGCCCCTCTCATTTTATGACTGATCATAAAACAAAATGGACGATAGGCGACCATATCCGCTTTTTCACGGGGGAAATTTTCAAATTCCATATAGTAAAGAGCAAAAACAGATGATAGAAGTGAAAAGGAGGGAAAAAGAATGAATATCAAATAACAGGGTCACTCTGTGTGCGTTTGTACATTTCTATATTCACTAATTCGTACTGATGCATCCTATTATCATAGAATTATAAAGTGAATGTTAGTGTGTTATTCTGCTTGTGTATCTGAACTTATCAGAAGATATCTATTGTACTTGTGTTGTGGTGCAATGTTCCTCGATAACATAATCGGCTAACATGAAAATATGTGATCATTCTAAAGACAAAATAGACCTGAAGGAGGAATTATCAAGATGAGACAGCCTGCGAACGAGTGTCATTTTCCCAGGACCATCGCCCTCAAAGTCATTGCACATGATGATTAAGAGAGACACAGACAAACAGATGACCTCTACATCATCGACAACTCCTGCCATGTTCATATGTGTGTCTTAACATCGATGATTTTGCTTTACCATTAGGTTTGTATATTATTTCGACCCGATCCTAGAACACCATCAATTCTTTGTTTCAACTTTGTATGTTGTATACATGCTGTGCTTATGAAACGTGATCGTTCTGTTTGGTTGTGGTTCGAAAGGCTCGTAAATTACTTTTCCAATTACCGATCTTTTTTAATAAACAACTCATCCGTTATATATATTGTTGTTATATCATTTTTATCTGTCTAAATGATTTATTGAATGGATGTATTTATTTGTCGAGTTCCAGCAGCAATCGTCTGGAATATCTTAATATTTCTATTTGATGTTCCGTGTGTTGACATTAATCACGTAACGTTGCTTTTAATAACTACGACAAATTGGCCAACCATAGCTGTCGCTGCTTGCCAATATCAAAACAAACCAAGCATTTACCAGTCAATGACCTCTGGTTTCGTCACAGTTTGTTATCGCTATTTGTATACATATGTTTGATGGATCGTTCTAAAATGACATATGAAGGAATTTTTGAATTAATAAAAAATATGGCAGACAGACGGCCATCTTGAATTATGATTATGAAAGATTGTTATTTTTGAGGAGCAGAGTAGGATTGTTCTCAAATTTCATATGTAGATTTTGTCTCTTTTGTTCCAATTCATTTTTCAGAGCCATCATTAAAACAAAATTGCTAGGAGACCACCGTTAACTTTATCTTTGAATTCATATGCAGGTTGCCCGAGAACCCTAGGTGTACATTTTCACTTTTGGAATTGATCAGAAAAGCAATAAGGCTGAAAGGCGGCTATCAAGGATTTTGATTCTAAAAATTTGTGATCGCCACTTCTTAAGACGAACTAAACGGATTTTTAAAAATAATTTCTATGTAGGTTTTCCTTGGCCTCTAGTTAAACGGCGCCATTTTAATTTTTGACTTGTCCGAAAAACAAATGGTCGACAGGTGACCGTCATGGATTTTCACGATCAAAGTTTATTATCGATATGAACCGTAATAATTCTGTTTGGTTGTGCTTCAAAAGCCTCGTAAATTACTTTTCACCGATCCTTTTAATAAAACAATTCGTTATGTATCCTGATAATATGTTATTTTCATCTGTCAAAATGAACTATTGATCGGCTGTTTTCTATTCATTTCGTCGAGTTCCAGCAACACCAATCGTCTGGAATATCATAATATTTCTATTTGATGTTCCGTGTGTCGTCATTAATTACGTTGTTTTTGTATGAGCATTGCTAACGATGAATGTGCTAAATTTGTGATCATTGGTCATGGTCATTGGCCACCAACAGCAGCTGATGGGAAGTTTAACAATATAAAACCAGACCACGCATTCACACTAGTGACACACGGCACACCACCTACCCACACAACAATTATCACTTTAAACATCACCAACAAAATCAAAATGGATTAGACATATATCTAACCACTAGCAGATCGATACAGCAGACACTTAAATTGATTGGGAATACCTAAACTATAATATAATGTTCTGTACTACTTCTTGGCTATTGCGCAAATCATACCAAGGTAGATTGTTTTTTTTCATTTGGTCTGTCAGGATATTTTTTGGTGTTTGTATGCTGATTTTGACGCCGTAGTACCTGGAGGCACGGATTCTGCTGAACCTCGGTCTGTAGAGGCTGATACTCTCAAAACATACAAAAACGACTATTTGAAACAATCGATAAAGATACATATATACCAACCGCATTTGTTAAAAAAAGGCAATAACTCTGTGTATATCTGTTATTTAAACAAATTCCATTGTCTGTAACCCTGCTGTTCGGATTGGTGATACCGATATCGGTGAGGACTCATTTTTACATTGAATTTTGCATCTGTCATGTCATGCAGAAAATTCATATTAATTTAATTTTCCGATAAGGAAATTTTGGTTATGATGTCAAATAACATAGATTTACGTACAATGTAGATTTATCGAGATGGATTTATTTACCTGATTTCTTGTCATTTGTTGACGTTATAATTACGTCATATTTGTGTTTTGCAGGAAAAAAACATTCCGCATATACAGACGTTTCCATTGTCATATGTGTCTTTGGTAAGTTATTTAATTTTCAAAATGGATGGCTAACAAATTGATTTCATTGACCATGTTTTCGACAGTGAAGTAGAAAAATGTATCAATTCTGCTTGAAGATCAGCGTAATCAAGACGATGTATCCAAACATTTAAACGGCAGAGTAGATTGAACTGGTGCACAAAAAATGTCAGTACTTTGTGAATAATGTTCTAGCATTCGGTGGAATCGAATGGAGAAACACGAAATCCATGGCAAGTTCTTTAGGAGATTCTGAGAGACCTACCGAATTTTCTTTATAATTCATATAACTGTTTTACTTGCACTCTCCATGTCGTCTGCTGTAAACATTTTGTTGGTGGCGTTGACTGTAGTCGGAAATCTACCGTTTGCTTGTTTCCATCCACATAGCATGCTTTCGTGTTTTAAGAATTCATTAATAGGCAAAAATATCATATGCATTGCCTTTGCAAACCTACATATATTAAACATTTATGAATTATAAAAAAATACATTGTAAAAGTACATATAGGTTCAAACGACCTAGGTATATTTCTTCCGTCATGGGCCACCACACATTATCCAAATGGGACATAAAACGAAGTATTTAATTGGTTAACCCTTATGAGTGAGGTTGAATTAAAGACGGCGGAGAATGCATCACCGTACTAATGGGAATGTCTATCAGCTCATCATCAGAAGTCTACACCATATATCTTCAGTGATAAAGTGGAAGGGGCACTGATCTGAAAG